CTTTTTTTCCATTTTAATAGCCAACATTTTGTAGGTCACTGAAGACCCTGAAGGCCTTTGGCCCTTTCTCTGTATAGCAGGTCACATGACATAGTTCTGCAAGCAGAAGGGCCTTCAGGACACAGCATTACATAAATACTTCAAAACATATAAAAGCAATGTGGACACACAAATAAGCCTCAAATCATCACAGTCACAGGGACATTATCTAAGCAGCAATAAAGCTACTCATTTGGGTAAGATGTATGTTCTCAAAAGAGTTTATCATCAAAAACAAATTGAGTTGTTTTTAAAGAGAGTAGATAAATGGTTTCTTCCTTTGCTTTTACATGTCTTGACTAACTTTATTTTAAGTTCATTAATTAAGGGGTCACAATTTATTGCTTTGCTTTAATCACTAAATATTACTTAACTGTGATGTTATAAAATATAGATAAATGATTCTTATGTCATTTTCAATTTGAGACACTGTCACATAGCATTCATGTAGAAGAGAGGGTCAGTCTGAAGTAGAATTTCAGCCTATGTATAATAGATTAGGTTTGGGTGCTGCTTTGTGGTTGTATAAGAAAGGATGTTAGGTCAGAACAAAGAATAAAGGCTGGTTTCTCAAGGAACTGTAGAAAATTAGAAACTTCAAGGGTTAGCAAGCTTTCCCTTCTAAGTCATGTGCACAGCTAATCATTTCAAATAGCAAGAAAATGTTTCCATCAGTAATTATTTCATTCTAACTTTTAATCAGGCATTTGTTATTTTGAAGCTTTGTTTTAGTAGACTTAGAGAAAATATTCCACTTCCCCAAAAAACAAGATTTAAATTACTAATACTTTTTTGAAGTGGCCATGATTACTTTGTACTAAACAATTAACAAATATCATTGATGCATCTGCAAAGGTAAACCACTCACCCTTTTTGTTTCTCTTTGAAACTGTTGACAATATTTAAACATTGTTTTGACTATGCAGAGAATCATCCCAATATTTGAAGACTTTTCATTTTCTCTTTTTGAAACATTATCTAGCTTTGTAGTCTGGATGGTCTAGAACTCACAATTCTCCCGCCTCAGTCTCCATCGTGCTGGTATTAGAGGCATGTTCTGACCACCCCTGGTCTCAGTCTACTTTTGTAAAACTGCTTTATACATGATACTTTAGCGTGTTGATTCCATCTTTTCAGCCTTTACCACTTGATCTGTAAGATTACATTTATGTCATTCTGTCATGACATATTCATCTAAAACCTATAAAGTTTAACATTTTCAAATAAAAAGGAAGTGTGTGGTAAAACATAAATAGTTTAAGTAAATGTTATTCAGAGGCACTTTGAAAGTTAAGACCTTTTGAATACAGTCACTATCTGTAAAACCATCTATAATGAGAAGCACTGAGACGTTTCTTACATATACCTAATGTAACTCCAGAGACCTCTATTAAGTGGATCTCCTTCTGAAAGCATTTAAATGATATATATGTGTGTACATATACGTATATCTAATTATGTACATTTAAAGATTTTATACCCCAATATTGTACTCTTTTCTTGCGTTTGCTTTTAAGTTTATATTGAATTGATTGAAGACGACTGAACATTCATTATTCTTAACAGCAAACCAAACTCTGCAATGCAGTCTGACTGCTCATCCATAATTCAGGATCCCAGCCTAAAACATTATGCTCAAACTAGTACAAATATTGGCAAAGGTGAAAGACTGAACTGCTCCAGTAGCATCAAAATTCTGTAGCAATCTGTCTGTGCACTTGAGTTCCTAGCGCTGGGACTAAATTCAGAAGCAGAGAAAAGTCAACAACACAGCTGTAGATGCAATAATGAGATATCAAAACCAAGTGGCTGCTGTCGAAAGCTGCATGCTCCTTATTAACTATTCACAGTTCCGAAGTGACAATAAAACCCAATAAGGGGAAAATGTATTAATTAGTTGCTCATTATCTCTCCAGGTAAAGAAAAGGGGGTTCTATGAGAATGTTCTTATGGATTTTAACTTTGAAAACAGAAAGTCTGGCTCTACTCAAATTAGTACAAATTTGCCACTCCTCAAATTAATTTCTGAATTTGTCTTAATTATCTGGGCACTAATACCAGCCCTCTATTTATGAGGTTCTTGGTCACTTCTCTGTAGGTTCCAGTGAGTAAGCAAGGCTTCTAAATCCCCTTGACACATGACGTGCCTCCCTTCTTTGCCAGAAGGTCTGCCCCTATGAACGCAAAGCAACTTAAGGACACACAATGAGAAGAGAAGATGTCCCTTGCTAACTGAGTCAGCAGAATTAGCCCAGCAGATCAATGTGCTAACAGACACTCTGCAGGATCACCTTCACTTCCAGCCCACCTGCTATCTTTCTTTGATGTGGCTAGTGGTGACACATTCTGCAGGAGTACAGACCTTACTCCTATCGATCACCTATATATAAAGTGATCCATGTCTAGCAATGTACTCTTTCTGAATTTTAAAGCTAAGCATTCTCACTTACTCAGAAAGCCTTCTGCCTAGTTATAACTTGGCAGAAAGGGAAAATAACTTATATAATTATAATCACGTCATTATGTAATAAAATAACTAGCTTTAGAAAGCACTGAATAATAAAACAGTTAACAATATGGCAAAAATCTGAACAATTAGAAAATTTTTAATATATTTCCAGGCCAATATTCTTTATGACCACCCGAATAGTCCACCATACCACAGCACTTATGGATTGCATCATAAAGACCATTTAATATATCTTTGAACTTCAAAACGCAGTCCTGGGAAGAGGGCCTAAGCAGGGCGGAAAAAGTCTGTGTTTTGTAGCTGGGACATCTAAATGCATAAATATTAAGCAGATCTAGTGTGGGGTGGGGATGGGGGCTGCAGCTCTTTTCTGAAGAAAAATCACATGTATCTATTATAAAAATAACATTAGCCGGATGTGGTGGCACATGCCTTTAATCCCAGCACTCGGGAGGCAAAGGCAGGTGGATCTCTGTGAGTTCAAGATAGTAAGTTCCAGGACAGCTGGGGCTACAGGGAGACCCTGTCTCAAAAAAAACAAAACAAAAAAAATCAAAATAACATTAAAACATCAGTATTCTTTGGTCCCTCTCATCTCTAATCAAGGCCTTCATAAAAAGGATTACCATTCAAACCAAGAGCAGGATAAAGAACTTAGGGAAGAAGAATCCAATCTGCTGGAGCCCCTTATATCTCTACACATCTGTCCTTCAGTACCAACATGTAGCTTATCTAGAGAATTTTCACCTTTAATAAACTCGTAAGCAAATCTTTCATGATTAATAGAATGTTCTGTACACTTTTTTAAGTGTCCTGTGGGTTTTCTTTCCATCATTTGTAGATTATGCCTCTGGGGCATGGCATGGTTCAGTAATTTTCCCAGGCATACATCAAAGACACATGTAGACAGCAGAAAAAAACCTCAAACTTCAGATTTGCATCTACACAGACTAAAATGTACAACTTAAGTCTGAGACATGTGGTGCTGGGCAGAACCAATCAGAATTTTCAGTCTTTGGGAAAAAAGGTCTATGTCTGTATATTCAACACAGATCTGTTGTTTTATTGAATGAAGATCTTTGGGGCAAGGCAAGAAGGATTGCTCAAGAAACCAAATCCCACTCACATTGGGTATCACAAACCAAAAGTCAACCAATATAGATAAACACAAGGTGAGGATATCTGACTGTAGACATTTTCAGTGAACCTGGTGATCTCTGGTCAGACATGGAGAAACCAATCCTGCCCATTTGTCTCCTAGTTTTCTGAGTCTATGATCATGTTCCAGGCCATAAATATGCAGCCTTGAGAGCTGAATCTGTACTTTGAAATTTAGGAATGCCTATCTGGAACTTATGGCTATCCTGAGTAAATATACTGTAGGCAAAGAAAGTTCCCACTTCCTGACAGGTCAGTATTAGATCTGTGGTGAAAGCCAAGTGATCTTTTGCTAGAGATTTTAGACAACTTAAAAGTCAAACAATAACATTATTCTGCTCTCTGTTCACAAAGATTACAAGTCTTCTAATCTCAGAAATTTTCAGATAATAAAACTATACATTTGAAGCATGTAGCGGGATCAATGAACAGTTATGAAAAAGGAGAAGTTTTCCTGAGCTTATAAGTGTTAACCACTTTTGTTATTCAAGGACAATAACATTTAAAGAAAATTGGCAACTAGGAGTTCAACCAGAGCCACCACAATATTTCACTGTTAATTGTCTTTTAGAAAACAGTTTGCAGTTAGAGAAAGAACATCAGGGATGTTGCCCACCTGTTGCCCACCAAGATGTCATTCCACCTCTCAGAGCCTCCTCTGCCCCATTTTGAAATTACTAGATATATAAGGACTTCTAGTGGCTGGAGAGATGGCTCAGTGATTAAGATCACTGGCTGCTCTTGCAGAGGACCCAGGTTCGGTTCCCAGCACTCACAAGGCAGCTAACAATTGTCCTCAAGTAACTCCAGTCCCAGGGAATCTGATGCCCTCTTCCGACCTCTGAGAGCATTGCATGATGCAGGTGTACTTACATATATACAGGCAATACACTCATACACATAAAATGAAAATAATAAATAAATTAAGAAGAACTTCTAGTTGGGAAATATTACTGGTTGATTCATTTGACAACAGCATGAGCTAGTTGACCAGTACTGCTGTGGCAACACTATCAGGGTGTCAGGACACTGTCTCTGGTGTCCTGATGTCATCAGTATTATTGAAGGACAGCATCGGCACTTTGATTTCCCAACTGTTCTCCTTTGCAGACACACAATCACAAAAAGTTTTCGGTATCTTTGTCTTTTTTCCTATACAGAGAATACAACATCTTAAGACAACATAGACTTGTTAGAAAACACTAAAATAAAAGACGTATTATTTGCTATAGTCCCATAAATTTGAATAAAAATCCAAATAAAATTTAAGATATCCTGCAATAAACTGATACTGTAAGTATACTTAAAAACCAAAGTAAAATTTCGGGCTCACCTTGTAGCCTCTGCATCACATTGGCAATGTCCCGAGGGGACCGTGAGGATGCTCTGGAGGTTGCCATGGTCCTTTATGTAGCATGAAACCAACACCTAGAGAGGTCTCCCAGTGCAGGACAAGGCTACACTGTTCCAGAAAACATATGCAGAGTTTTCTACACCTGTTGAGCCTCAAAGAGATCCCAGGCACTCATGGTGATAGCAAGGAGACAGTGTTCTCACACAGTGAGCCTCGTGCTCTTCTGCATTTGCCTTAAGAAAGCCCTCTTAAATAGATTCAAGAACCTGAAAAACAAAACAAGAAAATACAATATGAAAAAACTCTACCTCCATCACCATAAGAGTGTTCTCTATTCTAGTCAAATGCCTGATTCATTTTCAGAAACAACTAATATGAAAAACACTTGGAAACTACAACATATTGAGTTTTTAAATTCCTATGGTATGTGATAAAATAAAAAATAAGTTACCTAAAATACATTGTTTCCTGAAATCTTGACATTGAGAAATATACTCTGAACATGAAATGCTCATTTCTTTGCTTTCTTTTTAACATTTTTCTGAAACATTTTTATGCTGTTTCATTCTGTACTTTCCAGGAATGAAATCATATCCTAGCTTCTAATAACAATTTGATTAATTAACACAGTGCAACTAGGGCTAGAAATGTAGCTGCGTTGGTAGTGCTTGCCAGGTATATGCAAAGCCCTGGGTTCAATCCCCAGTATTGTATAAGCCAGGCTTGGCCCATGTTTGTGATCTTAGTGCTTAAGAGGTAGAAGCAGGAGGACTAGAGAGTTCAAGGCCATCCTTGTCTACATGGGGTGGGTTTCAAAGCCAGCCTGGGACACATGAGCTCCCGCCTCAAAAAGTAAAACAAATAAGAAACAATATAAATATATAAATTATTTATTTCTAAAACTCTAACTTCCAACCATCCTCATCTTAGAAGGCAAAAATGGACCTGACTTAGCTTTTCCTGCCCAATACATAGATTCTAAAGGAAACAGTGAAGCCGGAATGGAGGTGAGCTAGCCAGAGAGGACATTGTCCCCTCCTGAATTTTCTGGTTAGTGCAAGTGATCACTTTAAATTTGGACGGTGAAAATGAGGTAGGCCAGTAGTTGGTGCAATTTTGACATTGAGAAATGTACTGTGAACAAGGATTTCCTAACCCTAGGGTTATCTGAATAAAGTCTTGCCATGCAGAAGATAATTAAAAGAGAAGAGTAATGAATTCAGAGAAACTCCACTAAGGGTCCTGCTGCTGCTCAGCGCACAGCGATTCTTCATGACAGTTCACTGTGTGTCTCCAGGCATTGATGCCAATGGTGCTGATGGAGAGAAAAAGAATGGGTGTGGGAGGAAAAGGATCATGGAAAAATTGAAAGTTTAAGAGAACACAGCACATGAATATGGGATGCCCCATTTTCATGAATGAATCAAACAAGCAAAGTCTATATATGCTATAAAAGCTTATAATGAGTGCATGAAGGATTGGCTAAGTAATTAAACATAACGACAAATTATAATTTGGTATAAATGGCATTATGAATACTCATATATATTGGTCTCTGTTAAGAGGCTCCCCATTCAAAACTAGAAATAGCTTTTGGAGACTACCATCTGCAAAAGGATGGGAAACATTGCTCACTGCTGATGCCCTATGTGTAAAAATATCAGAAGGGTGTGCTGGAGCAGAAGGCTTCACTCGCTGTTCATTTCAAGTCAGGAAACAAAGACCCACTGAGCAGTTTCAAGTGTTAGGAAGGTAAAGGCTGCTAGAAAGGACCATGATGGGAAAGAGGACTCAGTACTTGGTAACTTCTAGGTTGGGGATGTACATGTTAGTGGGCAGATTTCCAAGAGATTCTTGGAGGAGAAACAATGACTTCCATCTGGGTTACTATGCCTCATGACCCATAGCTCTGCCTATTAACAGCCCGTTTCCCTGGGTGTAAAATATTCCACCTGCCTATGTACAAAATCTACTTAAGACTGACTCAGAGTTTCGGTGCCCAAGAAAACTTATAATAACTCACTCCTCAAAGTGTTAGAAAGTTAGTTTCAGCAAATGTAAGGCTATCGCTTTCTGATACCTGCCTTTATGTATGTCTATCTATCTAGTATCTACCATTTATCTATTGATATCATTCATACACAAAGTAGAGATGAAGAAAGAAATTAGGATTTCTAACTCAGTGGAAGTGCAATGGAGGGAGGGAGAGACGGATGGATGGACTGAGGGATGAAGGGAGGGATGGAGGGAGGGACGGAGGGAAGGAAGGAAAATTCCTCAGTTCAGCTACCTCACACCAGTCCATGCTCAGCACTGGAGTTCAAAGATGATTAAGACACAACTGCAGTTTCAATCCAGAGTTACAGAATTAAAAGGGATTTCTGTAAGCCACTGCATCCCAGATCATCCTGCTTCTCCCCCTTTCAGTCCATCTCCAGTGTCACAAAAAGACTAATCCTGGAACCAATCGACGTCACATTAAACTATGATTTCTCTGTTGTGTTCCCATGTATCCAGTCCTGTTCCAACTGCATTACTCACACACTCTGAAATCCTGAGCTCAGAGCTGAGACGATGAAGATAAGTGTGGCACACAGCCTATTTTTGAGGAGTGTAGAACACTGGGAAAGGCAGTGCAGAAGACACAAGTAAAAAGTCCCAGGAGTAAAGATGACTATCAAGATGGAGGGACGTGGACTGTGAGCATCTCACTGTATAAGGACTGTAGCATGTTTGCTTTTCTTCCTGTAGTGCTGGAGATGGGGCCCAGGTCCTCATACATGCTATGCAAGTGCTCCATCAGCTATACCTCAGCTCCAGGGCTTTAACTCTCATTGCCTTACTCTCTCAAGCATTGTCACCAAGTATATCCATGAACGCACAGTTATATTCAATATTGTTTTTTTGTTTCACTGAATCAAGTACATAATACTTTATGACTGAAACAATATTCCCCCCAACACCCCTTCCTCTCTAACGCACGAGTTGGTGCAATATCCTTCCTTTTTCAGGCCTAAGATAAACTATTTTTGCTTTCAACATTTGCCTATACCCATACATTCAATATTGTGAAATTATGCTTTGTTACTTTTGACTGACACTTTAATGTTATACGATTAAGAAATTTCAAATTAATGAAAAGAAGATATAAAAAGAGACTGGGAATTTAGAAATACAAGTTCTAAGCTTAACTTTATGCCAGCTAGTTGGGTGGTTTTGAGCTGGTCCTGTGTATGGAAGTTTTCAATAACTTTCTCAGAGAGAGTACAATTCCAGAAAATGCAAAGTTTAGACAAAGAAAGACAAAATTCACTCTTAATCCTGCCTTATATTGTTCATAAGATCTTGTGTGTGTGTGTGTGTGTGTGTGTGTGTGTGTGTACATACATGCTGGTGAGCATGTACATGTGGGTACTCACACATATAGAGGCCCAGGTTGATGTTAGGTTTCTTCCT